CCCTTCTCCAAGCTGCCCTTTGAGCCCTTGTCAGTCTTGTTGAGCACGACATGCCCAGAGTTTTCGGCACCCTCTCCAAGACCCTTCTCCAAGCTGCCCTTTGAGCCCATGTCAGTGGCGTTGAGCGCCACATGCTCAGACTCTTCGGCATTCTCCCCAACACCCTTCTCCAAGCTGCCTTTTGAGCCCTTGTGTCAGTCTTGTTGAGCACAACATGCCCAGAGCTTTCGGCATCCTCTCTAAGACCCTTCTCCAAGCTGCCCTTTGAGCCCTTGTCAGTCTTGCTGAGTGCAACATGCCCAGAGTCTTCGGCATCCTCTCCAAAACCCTTCAAGCTGCCCTTTGAGCCCATGTCAGTGGCGTTGACCGCAACATGCCCAGAGTCTTTCGCATCCTCACCCAGACCCTTCTCAAAGCTGCCTTTTGAGGCCTTTTTGACTACCTGCCTAGAATCATGCCCATGGCCGTCCCAAATGCCAGCTGCCATGTCCCAAGACATGGTCCAACGCCCGTGTCGCAGCGGATGATCCAGCGCCGTGCCATCTTCATGAAGAACCTCTGCGGAATTCTCATGGAACAAAGATCTTCGAGCCTCTGACTCTTCCAGTGCCAAAGGTAACTCTGAAACAAAGAGCAGCACTTGAGCAACTTCATCGGCTAAGACCTCCTCAATGGCATCCCATTGCTTCTCTGACAAGATCTGCTTGGATTTCGTGCCAGTGAGGGCTGCAGTTATGGCATGCCCTTTCGTGTCCAAGACCATGATGGTCACAGACCCATAGCGATGGATATGCCACTCCTCCACAGAGTCCGAGATCTCCCCCGCATCCACGATGTACCTGCAGCTACTGGCCACGCGAGATCGAATCTTGGTCCAGCAAGCGAGAAAGCCCGGTGTCAGCTATCGCACCGTCATCTCACCAAAAGGACCAAAGCGGTTTATAAAGATCAAACAAACTTTGGACCACCTAGTGCCAGAAAAGAATGACCGCCAGTAGTAGGCTAGTAGGCCACAAAACAACCTACAAGTTATAGATTTGCGGCAAAAACACAAAGTGAGGTGTAGGTCCCTCTCTCTCTGCCCCACTGGCTTCAAGGTATGGGGGACCAGTCTTAGACAGAAAGGACATAAAACCAGCGCACAATCACTATCCAGATGCTCTGTAGAGGCTGGTTCTGGTTCATGGCTTACCATCGGCAACGGCGTATGAAGCCACCCCCTCCCAAGGCGAAGATAATCAAGGCTCAAATGAAAGCTGCCATCCCACATCGCTCGTTCGTACTCTTGATAAACCTCCAATGCCAAGCACAACAATTGATGAAGATCTCCCAACAACAGGGTCACCTCAGCACCTGTTTGCTTGGCCTTCGTTTCGAGCTCATGAATTTGCTCAAGAATTTTGGGCAGCTCCAGTGGTGGCATGAAGACACAAATGTTGCTGCAAAGCTGCGCCAAGATCGCCCTCAATTGCCGATGTCCACCAAGCGTGGTGCGATAACTCTCTCGCAACAAATCACGAGCCCTGCGCAGCATCGTTTGCTTCGGGCCTTCGCAGTAGCTCTGGTGCTCTTTCAAACTATCCATGACCTCCTCGAACAGGTGCGTCGCACTGTTCCGCCCCAAATGCAGCGCCACGTGGGGCTCGGCAGCTCCAGCCTTGACGGTCTTCAGCAGCTCCCGCCAGGGATCCATCCCTTCCTCGGAGTCCTCACCTGCCATGGTCCCAAAGTTGGAAGCAGCATAGTCACCAATGGCCACCAAACGAAGACGTTCCACTCGTAAAGGCATCGTCCGGAACCTCAAGGGGTTCCGGAGCTCCAAATCCGGGATGTTGCTCACGAAGACCATGTAGGGGGAATCGGAAAGCAGGTTCTGGAGCTGGAAGGTCACTGGCATACCCGGTTTCAGCCTTTGAACGCAGCAAACCGCACTTTTGGGTGAAAAGAAGGTCCGGTCCAGCTCCAAAGAGACTAGGCTTGGCTGCTGAAAGTCCTGGCTGGTGCCCATTGGATACACGTGGCGATCTAAGGGGCCCCGGAAACCATTCACCTGAACAATGCTGATGTTCACATCGATTTCTTCGGAGACTTCCACCAGAAAGGAAGCACTAGTATCGGTCACGCGGCCCAAGACTGGACCAACCAATAGTACAGGCTCGTTGTCCTTACGGGCCAAAATGCCATCACGGAGCACATTCAACGGTCTGGCCAGCTGATCAAAGGAGCAAAACTCTGGGTTCTTCTCGAAGCGATGCCGCCGCCACTCCTCCAAACTCGTGGACTTTGCGCCACGCTCGGGTGCCTCAGCATCTTCGACCTCTGAACATGCAGCACCCATTGTGGCTGCATTTCAGCCAATGTACCCATTGGCTCTTCGGCATGCAACAAGGCATTGACATGTGCGTCTCATGTGGATTTTCTGCATTCTTTAGCAACATCGTTAGTCTCAAGCATGACATCTCTTGTTTCGATGTGCAGGTGGCTCCTGAAGCACAGCTGCCCGCCTGTTATTTTGCCCCCTGAGATAGCATGTGGGACATTCACTGGGTGCCGGTGTTTGAACATTGAATCGCTCGGAAAATGCATCTCTAGCCTGAACATGTGTTGGGCATGACTGAAGCAACAGTGACAAATTTGGTTTCTGCACCTTCGAGAACAAACATCAAGTGGTGTGCCTGCGGCCTGAGCACATTCAGATGGATGAGCAATGTTCCTGCCTGCTTGTCCAAAAGGCAAGCATGCCCCTATCCTCAACAAAAGAAATGCGCAACTCTATCCCCATTGAGCAAGGCTCATTTGTGCTCTTTTCCTTGTGGCCCATCCCGTCATTCAATCTCTCCATCGGGAACGAGCGCAGCACAAATATCTGGTGTCCAGAATCTGGGTTTGACGAGGGTCATCCAAGGTCCCACTAGCAGAAATTACAAAAACAACCCTCTGTGGTTCTTAATTGTGAAGCAGGTCTTGTCAATGTTCTAAGTGCATATGTGCACATATAATCAATACTGCAATATTGTACGGTACACAGTATACATGAGAACATAGGCGAAAGTGCCCCGACAATCTGTGACAGTCGTGTTACCAGTATTGGCCAATCTCGTTCCTCTTTGTCCCTACCAACCATGGATTCTTGGAGTCAATAGCCGGCACAGCCAAGAAGGTTAGAGCGGATACAGTAGAAGGAAGTTGAGGGGCTTGAGGGCACCACTCTTGCAAAATCGATGAATCATGAAGATCACTTGTTCAGGGTTCAGAGGTAGCATGTCCATGAATCCACCAATAAGGATGCTGTATCTTTCAGCTTCTCCCTGGCTGTGCTCCCTTCTTGCGTTGGCTCTGAGCGTGCCAGCACGATAGGCAGCACCCAAGCTATGGTAAGCATTGGCCTGAAGTCACGCTCAACACCACCAAGCGCAGAAGTCAAAGAACCAGCCTACTTTCTACATGCCCCGGCTGAAGCCAAGCTACTTACAGTGTACGACTTTTACTGATTCGCCCTCCAAAACACAAACACCCCGGCCGCAAATCCGACAAAGCTACCATGAAAATTGTATGAACAAACAATATTCCCCGCGGAGTTTGTCTAGATAAGTTTGGGTGCACATATCTTCACGTAGCAATCTTGGCTTCCTTGTTTTTGTCCTCCGTCGCAAGTGGCTATGTTTATTCCAAGTGGCCAAAACGGGCTTCTCCTCATCTCGCCTCATCCGGTTGAAGAAAGATCTGGGCCGGTTCCATTATGCGCAGGAACATCACATGCAATATCCAGTGAAAATATCAAACATCATACAGAATATACATATAATATATATATATATATACAACATTATATAATTACTTATTACTTTAATACTCATGACATTTCATGACAACCCACCAATATTGTGCGCCCAATGTCAGATCCAATCTCGCATGTTCTCAGTGGTTTCAGTATGCTTCAGTGTTTTGCCAACTTTGCGCACTAGAACTCAACATGTCGGGCTGCACCATGGAACCAAAATGTCATGGAAGAGTTTGCCTTGTCGCTGCCTTATCCCAGCACCCTAAACATTGGAGGAGATAGATTTGAAAGAGAGTGTGGCTGTGTGGCTCAACTACGCCGAGTTGAAAAGAAGAGAGACAAAAGAAAAGATAAGAAAAGACATGGTGCATGGCTCCCATGTGGCTTGGAGAGCTTCGCCAGCTTGCGCCCTTGCAACCTTTTTGGAGGTGCAATGTGGGGGTCGTCTGGCAGTCTATCGATCTATCTATCGATCTATCTATCTATATCACTCTATATCTATCTATCTATCTACCTAGCTATCTATCTATCTGTCTGTCTGTCTGTCTGTCTATCTATCTATCTATCCATCTATCTATCTATCATCTATCTATCCATCCATCTATCTGTATTGTATTATTATGTGTGTTCACCATGGTGCACATCTTTATCGCCAGGGCACTCTTCCATCGCATCCACCACCTGTTGAAGACCTCAATCATGGCTTCGCATGGATGGGACAGGGTTTGCAGGCTTTATCCACATAGATTTCTTCTGGCATTGTCCAACTCGTCCTCCGCAACACCAGCATCCAGCACGGGCTCCCTGCATCCAGCCGCGTCAGCGGGGCGGCCGGCTTGGAGTTGGGCACCTCGGCATGGCCAGCGTTTTTGGGGTTGGAATTTGAGCGCCTCAGCGCTTCAGCCATTCATGTCATGAAACAGAGGAAGCCTGTAGACACAGAAATGCTAGGGCTTTCAAACTTGAAAAGGGCCAGAAAAAGGGATCTCTGGATGTGCACCCCCTCCCAAAGTTGGTTCTGGTGATCCCGTGCTAATGTTGGTGGCCAGACCTGCACATGATGAACCCTGCGTTTCCGACTGCCCAGCGCCAGCCACGTGGAGATCTGCGATTCTGAAGGCTCCTGCAGCCGGAGACCCGCCGCTGTGATGATATTCAGCGAAATGAAGAACTGCTTACAGTATGTTTTTTTGTCCTGGATGGACCTTGTTGCTTTAAGCTGCTTGGGGGTGGAGGCAACGTGTGACCGTGAATGGCCTACCCAACGCAAACAGGTGTTTGTTGCCTTTGGGCTTCCTCATCCGGGCTTCCTCATAGGCCTCGATTCTCATGTGTTCTTACAACAACTAGCACACGACTGGAAGCTTCTCTTTAACTCTTGTTGGTCTGAGTGGTGCGATGGATTGTGCGGTATCTTGCACCAGTTTCTCGGCATCAACATATTGCGTGCATTTCTGGAATGAAGTCTGGCGACATATGTACGCAAGATTAAGCAAGTATTCATATACTCTATGTTATGTGTTTGTTTGATGCATTTGATGGAAGAAATGCAAGCGGCTACACTATCATACAAATGAGTTGACCACTGAAACCCAGTGCGATGGACCACGCATCGGATGCCGAGATCTTTTTTTGGTGAAAAGTACTCACCCGTTTGGAACTTTTCAGTTCACGTTTCCACGAGTCAGTCTGCTCCTCTCAGGTGTTGATGATCAATTATGGCAAATTGAAGAAAACTGGATGAACGATGTCGGTGGCACCGCTGCCACGCTCCTCTGAGCCCTCAAAGAACTTCTTGATCACGACTGCTCGTTCGAAGCCTCAACATCTCACATCTCGGCAATGATTTCATGACTCGTCACAACGACCTGGGAATCTTCAGCTAGTCAAAAAGAAATATGTTATAAAATAGGTTTGTTACTTTTAGTGTTGGATGCTGATTAGTAATAGGGCCCTCGCCTCTATAATGCTAAATGTTTGAAAAATAGATATTGATACCATGTTTGTTTTAAGGGTTCTCTATTATGCAATTTTTTGGGGTAACCTAATTTGTTATATAATCTGAAAAATAAGAGTTTCAAATCCTGCGGAGGTATGAATACTACTAAGCCAATAGCTGGCTTGCTGAGAGTATTATTGGTAGTCATAGGTTTCTTTGGTTCTTCTAAACTCACAGCTTTCCAAAACCATCAATTCCAAAATCAAACCTTTATATAAAGATTGCTCCTAAACAAATTTTCAACTTAGTAGACCAGGAAGGCCCCTGATCCTCAATAATAATATTGTTTTACGGGTTCTCAATTGTGCAAAGTTTGATCTCATAAAGATAGATCTTACAGTAATACTAAATACTACTACAGTAAGCCAATGGCTGGCTTGCTGAGAGTGTAGTCATAGGTTTCTTTGGCACTTCAAATCTCACAGCTCCCCAAAGCATTCAATTCCTTAATCAAGCCTTTAAACAAAAGTTGATCCTAAACAAATTTTCAAGGTAGTAGACCAGGAAGGCCCCCTGATCCTCAATAACAAATTGTTCTCAATTGTGCAAAGCTTGACCTCAGAAGAATATATAGATCTTAATACTACTAAGCCAATGGCTGGCTTGCTGAGAGTATATTTGCTGAAGATCTGAGACTGCAAAGGAAAAGGATTGCTGAGAATATCCAATGACAAAGAACCCAGATTTGTTTTGGTGGTAGTTTATTATAGTTATTCCTCCATTTGTTTGAGGGGGGCCCTCTTTACTAATCAAGATCCAACAGTATCTTGCTAAGCTATGTATGCAGCTACTGCTGACAGTTGACTGCCTGGGCTCAGAACAATCGGGAACCTGAGGCCTCTTGCGTTCTTTCTCACATGTACTAAGGCTACTAAGGTGTGCCAGCGTTGTCAGCGCAAAGCGCAGGGGGACCTGGTTGGTCAACCATGTCAACCCCCCGACTAGGGGCCAAACTCCTGGCCCTTTCTGCTAGCAGAATGTGAACAGTTCAAAGTCGAGTCTCTAGGATTCTAGGGGGAAGATCGGGAAGACCCCCACCAACTCTCCGCCAGCCGCCCTGGGCCAGCCACCCCCGACCGGCCCGCTGTGACCGCTGGGCCAGCAGGCAGGTCAAGGCGAGGTCAGGGGACTGGCGCCTCAAATGAATGGCCTTGGGTTGAGCAACCCACGAAGCGGAGCAGTTTCCATTCAGCTCGGGTATGTGATCTGATCACTTGGGGAAGTAGAGCAATGCAACCAAATTTGTTGGTCACTGGTCGTGCTGGAAATTTGACAAACATGAGTGGACATGAAGAGCAATATCCTGCCATCATGCCGGCCCAGCAGAACCTTCCACAGCCTCCGATTTCATCAAAACAAGCCTGCCCGTTTATCCAACTTCATGCTCCGACAGCACATGACCTGGAGGCCATCGCTATTAGGTTTCACGCCATCGCTACTAGGGTGGAGGCCATCGCTATTAGGTTCCTTCTGCTATTAGTTGGAGGCCATTGCTATTTGGGTGCAGTTGCTCCAACTGCACATGACCTCTCAGAATTTTCACCATTGCCCCTCTTTCGCTTTAAGGCACACACCCCAAGCAGGTGTAAGGCATTGCCCATCTCGCGAGGGATGGGACGCAGCCTTGATGGCCCCAGTCAAAAGAGTGGGAGAAACACGCCCAAACATATCCTGTGAACCGCCGACAATAGCAAACCTGCACCGCCTGATGTAACACATTGCGAATCCATTCCTTTTCATGGGCTCCAGATTCTTGGTTCCTGCACTCATCTGCCAGCTTCAAAGCCTTCTCACCTCAGAATCACTGGTGAGCTATGGACTTAGGATCAATGACTCAAAGGTTAGAAGAGAGCTTATATAATACGTTGAACCATGTTCAACCTACCATGACCTGCTGTGGAAAAACTAAGTCACTGAAATGCAAAGCAATGGAACAAGGGGTGTCCCGTCATTGTTCTAGTACCTTAGTACCTTCATTGTTTAGTGACCCGTCTGCACTACTTGTGAACAAGAGTGAGAATCCTCGGACTTCATGCATCGCAAGTGCGGACGTCATAACGTGTCACGTGTCGATAGGACGTGAGGCGATTTGTGAGGCGATTTGACTGCCGACACAAACAGCATCAAACGGCATACAGCTACTCACTCTCAATACCAAAAATGCACCTGCCGTGCCATGGTATAGAGCTGCCATACATGTCAAGGGTAGACATTCGCATGACGATCTGCTGTCGGTGTTGCATGTTCATTGTGCCATCCAGCGCATTAAATACATCTTCCTCGCCAATCAATCAATCCATCAATCGATCGAACACTTTAACATAGCCAAGTGGTTCGCTCCCCCGTGCGCTTGCATGGTCCACCCCTCTCCAACAGGCATCCTGGCAAAGCTCTTGAGCCTTGACATCATCACCACGAATAAACCAGGCCTCAATGGTGGTCCACGGGGTCTAGCTGAAGCGGGCTTCCCAAGCCCTTCATATGAAGCGAGCTATGAAGTTCATAACTGACTCCCTCGGTTTTCTGAAAAATGCAGGTTATATACAGTAGCCTATTTTTTCCATCGACTGACTGCACATAGGATGAGCCCAATTCAGCTCTTCATGCTACCCCGCCAGGCCTTTGCCGCTGCATAGGCGTCGGCCATGGCACTCTTGTTGCTGGCGTGAAACCTCAAAAAGCGTGGGCCCATGATTGTCCATGAATATCCATGAGACCCAATAAGTTGGCCTGGCCAGACATGGCCAGACTGCCTCCAACGCGTGTGGCTTGTGATGCTTGTGTGATCCATGTCTGTTCATCCGAAAGCAGTGACAAAGGCAAGAATGCGCCTAAGTTTTGCTAGGAGGGGTCATGTTTGGATTCGCGAAGAGTCTGGCGACACATTCACCTTTGCAACTGCAGCGAGTTCGGCCGTTTCTTTGAGCAAGCGCTCCATTTTCATGACGCTGTCCTTCCCTTCCAGGTCACAGCGTCAAGCAAGGTCACCTCAGAAGGCGCACAGCGCACTGGTTCACCAATGCAGGACGGAAGCATAGATATACAAATATCCGCCGACCCCTGCCGATGGATGGGGGAGCGCGCCAGAGGACACTGCCCCATCCGGAGGAAACTGCAGATCTTCTCAGGCGTGAACACGTCTCTCGAGCGCCAGAGTAGTGAGCCTCTGGACTATAATGAATTGTATAGAGGCATACATACATTGAGTCATCATTCAGAGCGCCACCAAATACTTTCCCGGCATTGCAACCCTTCTATAGCAATGTTGAATTCACAGTGATAAACCATGAGTCAATAATGATCTGTCCTTTTGCCTGCCAGGATTTTGCAATATACTTGCAATATGGCCAACATCCAGGCCACAAAATTGTTTATCGTTGTTTTATGTTGCTTCCTTGTGGGCTTCCACTAGGAAAGGCCCATATTGAAAAAATGCAATTAAAGTCCAACATAAAAGCAACCAAAAAATGCACAAAAAAAGGGCTAGGTTGATGCAATCCAAAAAAAATGCACACCAAAGTGCAAAAAATAGCTGGATTGATCCACTGCCGCAAAAAAGGAAGCGCGGACTCCTTCGTGCTCTCTTTCTCTCTCTCTCTCTCTCTCTCTTCTCTCTTTCTTGCTTCTCTCTTTGTTTCTTGATTTTTCTTCTCTTTTCGATCTGTCCGTTGGTACAGGTCAAGTGAGACAGAGAGAAAGCGGGGGTTTGTGTCGGTGGCGGGTTTGAGGTGGGCAGGTAGGCAGCTGGGCAGGTTGCGCTGCGGGGGCGGGGACGGGGACAGGTGGGGAAGGGCTTGGCCTGGCCGGGCGGCTGCGGGGTGGGCAGGGCGGGGACAGGTGGGCGCGTGGGCGGGCGGAGCGGGGGCGGGGTTGCGGACAGGGTGGCGCGGGGACGCGGCTGGCGAGGGGGGGCGCGTGACAGGGGTGGGACAGGCAGACCCTGGGAACCTGTCCAGGCAGCATCTGGGAAGGTAAAATGTGAGGACCTCGAGGATGTCTCGAATGAAATGCAAATAAAAAGCGAAAAATTTGGGATTGCTTGGGCTCTTTTCATCCCAGTGGGTTAAGATTGAACAGCCAATTCTTCTGTTGGTAAGTGGTTGTCACCTCAGAGAGCTTGCACCTGGGGTTGCATTTTTTTTGCATTTTGTTAGGCAGTGTGTGTCTTGTTTGCATTTTTCCTTTGGGTTGGTGTTGCTTTCTTTCACCAATTTTTTGAACCTAGAACAAGCCCAAAAACACATCATAATTGCTGTTTTTAGACAAGTTTGGTGTCAATTGCAAACATGAGACAATAACAAACAGTTATTTTCTCTCAGATCCCTGTTCCTTTTCTTTTTGTTCCTTTGTGTGATAATTCTTGTTTAAATTGTTGCCCATCAAATGTCCCAAACCTTTGGCTAGCCGGCCAACATCCTCAGGTTTCTTTATGCAAACCCTATCAAACAAATGTAAAATTATCTTCAAAGGGTACCCCTTTAGACTCCTACCCCTGCAATTATAAACCAACCTACAATAATCACCCCCCCCCCCCTGCAGCCCTGTTGGCTTGTTGCTTATGTTGTGCTTTCCATGTTACTTTGAATGTCTCCTATGTTTGTCCTGCCCCTGTTCCCTTTGTTTGAGAGATCTTTCTTTGTTACTCGTTGCCCATCAAATGTCCAAAAACTTTGGCTAGCCAAAAGACTTATATAGGTTTTCTTATGCAAGCCCTATCAAATATATAAATACAAAAATATTATCTTGAAAGGGTACCCCTTTAGACTCCTACCCACTGCAAATATAAACCAGCCTACAATAATCAACCCCCCTGCAGCCCTGCTGGCTTGCTAGTTCTCTGGTGCTGTCCCTTTTGCTTTTAAGTTTTGCTACCTTTGTCCTGCTCCTGTTCCTATTCCTCTTTTTTGTTCTTTTGACAGCACATAAAAGGAACTTGAAAGCAAATGGCCTGGATGTATACAATTGAGATTGAGATTTTTGACCTCCAAAAATAAATAGAGATCTTCTTTTCATAGGGGGTGGCTTACTATTGTTAATCGAACATTAAAGGTCCCTTCACATTTGCTTCAAGGATGTTTCTGTATATTTTGGTTGTCATTTAGTCTATTTCTACCTACCTCAGAACCCAAGACTTTGCCCATTGAATGCGATCCATGCAACTAAGTCCTGCTTGTTGAAAGCATGGCTTGCATGCAGCCATAGTCACCTAAGTTCTGCCCCATCCTGCGGTTGGACATTGCCACTGATCTTGTCTCAGGTTTCATCTAGACATAGTTTCCCAGTTCCTGTGCCATTTGGTGGTTTGTTGGCTTGTCAGCAGGATACTCTTCTTGAAACTCTCTGGCTGTGGCTGATGAGATTCAAGTCCAAGAGTTTCCAGCTTGTTTCTGGTCAAAAGTCTGATTCTCTTTCCAGCAATTTCTTTATTAGTGCCTTCTACAAAAACAAAGGGCCTATATCTGCACAGTTAGGCTGTGGCTACGTGCAGTTTGGCCACGTTGTACTTGGCCAAATTGGCCTTGAATATCTCGACCGCTGCCTTGTAGACGGCCTCAGTCCATGTTCCCTTTTCCCACCGGTGCGACTTATGAACTGCCGCGCGTCCCCCAGCGCGTCTCCCCGCACGTCCCCCCGGTGTCCAAGTTGTGTTCACAACACTGATGAATGACTGATGCATATAATATGACTTGAATACATCCAACAATAACAAGTCCGAAGCAAGGTGTGCCACCCCAACAGAGCAGCAAACAACCCCAAATTCACCACCAGAGCAGTCTCACATCAGGGCTTCGCCAATATCCTCTTGACCCGGCCCTATCCACCAAAGTGTTTCCACACGGTTGTGCCTAACAAAGGGCCCTGCTCATGAATATCAGCGGATCACAACTGGCGGGGAAAAATAAACAAACAAAAAGGTCAGCATCAGCTACGGCAAGTTTTGGCACATGGTGCACATGAGCACCAGCTATTGGAACGAAATTTTGTCATCAGTTCCCACTCAAATGCAGTCAAGGCCTTGTGCATGAATAGACCGATGATGTGGATGTGATCAACACAATCACAAGGTTTTGACCCCAGTTGAGACGACATCCAAGTGTGCACCCAGCACTGCTGATGATAAAGCAAACCTGCTTGCATGAGAAACACGCGCGGTTGCGTAACCTTCACATGTTCAGATCAACAAACCTGTTTTCAGCCGTCTCCAATCACTTTCACCAGCTGTGTGCACATGCACACAGCACGCATGTAACTACGACTAAACGACTAAAACTGTCACTAAAACGAATATCAGTCATCCAGGCCATTGTCGCCTTCATTGTGTCTCCAAGTGACGTCATCAAAGGGATCCGTGACGTTTTCAGTGTCGTACTTTTCTTCTGCACTCCGTCCATGGAATCCTGACTGGTCGGGACAGTCCTCTCTTCCATGAGTTGCAGGGATACCAATTCTCGTATGCGCTATGCCGTGGCTGTGCGGCGAACAACAGCGTCAAAAAGCACCAGAGCAAGACTCAACCAATCAGTGTCACAATCCAAGTGTCTTGCTTATGGCACGCATCAAACACCTCGAAACACCATGTTTCTCGCTCCTGGACGGGTGTCTTCAAAGTCGGTCGAAAAGCATTTCCCACCGAACATGGTCCGGAATAAGCCTGGGTCACACGAAAAAGGAACTCATAATGCAGGTCGATCTGGCTAACTGTGGCCAACATGAACGAGTTTTCCAATTATATACAATGTTCATGTCAACTATCGTGCCCAAATATAGCAAAGCCTACCCGTGGCTAATTACTGACGTTCGCGGCTGTCCTATCCATGGATCAGCCTGCAGCCTGGACACCTGTATCAACGCTCCGGCTGGAAATGGACAGCTAAACAACAGCTGTGCAAGTGCCTGTTGCGTACATCCACTCGAAACCCAGGTTGGACTTTCCCGAAGCGCCGAACGCGGCACGCTCTCAACGGCGAGGAACACATGGAGAGTTCCCACTGCTCCACCACACCAATGAACACAAAGTCCTTCCAAAGGCAGAAGCGGGCGAGACGATTGCGAACGACCTGAAATTGGTAGCCAAATGCTGTAAGCATCTGGAGTTTGACTAAGTGGATGTCAATGTCTTGTGGAAACCCATGGTAGACCAGTGAATTCCTGTGCGCTAAGTGGTTCTGTTTCATGGGTCTTATGCCCTCATGTGATCTCAAGTGTAAGATGCCAACATATGCCAACCATTCAATCAAGTGCAAAAGTTTTTCCAGAGGGTTATTTGTCGCCCCGTATTTGTTTGGAGTTTCCCTATGTTGGCGTGCAACCAAGATCTTCGGGATCCAATCCCACTCCATCCTGCTGGATGAAACTGGCGGAAGGATAAGGGGGGCATCAGCGCACACCCTCAGCATGAAACACTGTAATCTAACTAACTGACCAGCGAAACCTAAGCGCTGGGGGTGAGGGATCAAACCAAAAAATATGATGTTTATACTGGCTTATGTAAAAGGAAAATGCAAGAAATCAAAAAACACATCCCCAAAGAGCAATGAAAGGAAACAAAGACTCGGGAAAAAACAACAGCAGCAGGGCAACAAAAGGAGCAGGCAGGCCCCCACAGAGCAAACCAAAACACAAAATCCACCTACAAGAAACACAAGG